TGCTTGCCTATTGCTGTTCCCATGAGTACTGCACCTGTGTTTTGTCTGATGTTCTGCCTGGTTCCCATGGACTGGGCTCGCAACCTTTTCATTAGCCCGCCAGCGGGAAAGCTATTCATTGGATCTGTATCTGTTTGAAGTTCCTTTATTATGCTTGACCTAACTGTGTATCCCCAGTTCTAACAAAGAACGTGTTTGAGTATGTCTTCAACGCTTTGAAATAAATTTTGCTTTTCTTGAAAACGTTGATGTTTCAAAAATGCTTGGGGATCCAACATTCAGTTAGCTGTCTGGTGATGCATAGACACTCCCCTAAGAGAACAGGTATATTTTGGCCCCAAGGGCCTCCCCTTGCTGGCGACTCCCCCCCTGGGCTGGAGTAAGCACAGCTAGCGAATTGGCCTGTTGCAAGTTCACAACTGGTTCCCAATGGCCATCTGGCACTCAGGGTACATATGCCTCCTCGTGGAAAGCCCGGCCTTGTGTCCCCCCCCCCCAGCATTGTGCATGAAGGAGAGACGTGGGCAGTGGTGAGTGAGGGGAGAGACCAGAGAGCAATCAGCATTTGGCTGCCAGGCATAAAAGCAACCCTGGGTTGGAGGGAGCCCATGCTGGGGATTTGGAGGGGCACAGTTGCAGAACCCAAAGATGCCTGGGGTGGGGAGGGGCAGCGTGCTGGAGGGGGGGGTTTCATTCCATTGCCTTGGGAAGGATGCCTTTCCTCCGCTTTCCATCCTTTCTGTCTGTCTGTCTGTCTCTCTCTCTCTTGGGCTGATTCCGCACTAGAGCTGCCTCGATGTTGCGCCACCGTTTGTCCCGATACTACTGGTCAATTTCACACCCAAAGCTGCGGGGCTGCATTTTGACTCACGGCTTCGCCCGATTTTCCCTGCAGCTTCGTGATCCTGTTTTTTGAGGGTCACGAAACTGTGGAGGAAATCAGGCGAAGCCGCGGGTCAAATGCAGCCCAGTGGCTTCGGGTGTGAAATTGACCAATAGTATTGGGGTAAATGGCGGCGCAACATCGAGGCAGCTCTAGTGCGAAATCAGCCTTGATCTGTTACTTGCAAAACTGAAAGAGGGAATCGCCAGTGGCGTTTCAAAACGTGGTGACGGCCTGCAGAAACTCACAGGTGCCTCTTTCGACCACATGTTCTAAGTCTTGAGAAACATGGAGCCAATTCCGCCCTTATACTGCGCTGCCAAAAATTCTGATTCACAAATAATCGAGGTTGTAAGCAATGCTCTCTCTAAGGTGTGGAGTCTTGTGAGCATAAACTCTACTTTGTGAGCTCCTGGCATTACAGTTGTGAGCGAGCGATTTGGCTACTGCATGAATCAGTTTGCTCTGGAGCCCTCCCTTCCTGAGCTGAGACAAAAATGTGTGCGTCGGAGGCTAAAAAACTGTGAGCTAGCTCACACTAACTCATCTTAGAGGGAACACTGGTCATAAGACCTGATGAAGGCGCACAGAAACGGGATTCTTCTTACCGGCTCCCTGTAGCCTTGCAGAGTGCAGGGGGGGTTGGGCTAGATGACCTGCAAGGTCCCTTCCAACTCTAACGTTCTATGATTCTATAAGCTTCATGCTGTGATCCTGACAGCTCTTTGAAGTGTTCTTCCTCCCCACGTGTCCCCTCATATCAGATGTATTGTACCTTTACAATACCCCTCATATCAGATGTATCCCTTATGTATTGTACCTTTACAGAAACTGACACAATACACAATACAAAAATTGTTCATATAAGTTACATGTTAATTTCAATATTAATATTCAATATCAGCATATTCATGGAGTGCCCACGAGTTCTTCTCACAATACAAGAACTCGTGGGTACTCCATGAAATTGCTGAACGGTCGGGTTAGAACGGATAAAAGGAAGTACTTCTTCACCCAAAGAGTGATTAACACATGGAATTCACTGCCACAGGAGGTGGTGGCGGCTACAAGCATGGACGGCTTCAAAAGGGAATTAGATAAGCATATGGAGCAGAGGTCCATCAGTGGCTATTAGCCACAAGGTATAGCTAGGGGCTCTGGGGCAAGGGATGCTCTGTCTTCTTGGTGCTTGGGGCGGTCAACAGTGGGAGGGCTTCTAATGTCTTGGCCCCACTGGTGACCCTCCTGATGGCACCTGGTATTTCTGGCCAATGTGTGACACAGAGTGTTGGATTGGATGGGCCACGGGCCTGGTCTCTGATATTCTTATGTCTGGGGCAAGGGATGCTGTGTATCCTTGGTGCTTCTGGGGAAGGTCAACAGCGGGAGGGCTTCTAGTGTCCTGGCCCCACTGGTGGACCTCCTGATGGCACCTGGTATTTTTGGCCCCCTTGTGACAGACAGAGTGTTGGACTGGACGGGCCACTGGCCTGAT